GGATACATAATTTTACCGAGGCCCATTATTTAATATTTGCCGGCCCCGGTAGCCCTAAAGAAAGTTCAGGGGTGGCATAAGATGCCTCTGTTGCTCCCTTGCACATACCTATGTTATACATGTACACAGGGTGTCCAACAATGTCCTACAGTTTTCAAGCTGTGGGATTAGATACTAAGCGGAATCGTTCATCATCAAATCATTGGTACTTATATTTAGAGAACAAAATCCCCTCGTTCAGCAGAACACTACACGATTCGCGTATATTATTTCATTGTGTACGTCCTTTGTCGTGGGAATATACTATTCAATATTTAGGCAGTATTCGTTCTAGATTAATTTTAAGTTTTTTGGTTCGCATACGATTTAATTACATAAATATGTATAATATATTATACTCAAATATGTAATCTATATTCATCATATAACATCCAGAATGAAAAGCTGAATCTAATATGGATCATAACGTGTAACCAACAATTAAGTATAACTATGTACCAATAATTATTTCAATATGAGTAAGTAAAGTTTATCATAATAACTAAAATAACCAATTTAAAAAATGGATATTTTTCTACAATTTTTGTTTGATTTATCTCCGCAAAATCATATTTTAAGTTCATTCATCCGTTTGATGTAAATCAATATTTTTATTTATTTCGTATGACTTCACGAACAAATCAACTTTACTAACAATATCACAACAAATCATAGAATAATAACGAATTAGAATATATAATATATTGGCTTCACGTTGATAGAATTATAAAATCGAAAGTCTTGGAGATATTAATAATGAACTTCGATAAAAATAAAAATAAAGAATTTTCATCATGTATATTACTGCGAAAACGGAAATTATAGCAAATTTTTATAATATTCGTAACAGAAATATTTTTCAATACATTTCGGGTAAAAATGTGGATAAGAAAAATTGAAGTTTATGATTCAGAAAATTCTACAGTTATATCTGCATAACTTATAAGACAAACGAAATGTATTCTAAATAAATTAATACAACAATATACTAACAATCAAAAAATGTGAAGATAGAAATGCGATAGAAGATAATACAATGGCACGTACCAATCCACCATATTATTTAACACAGTGAGTGTCGAACAAATAAATTAGATGTAAGTACACAATAAGATTCCATTAAATAGATTATAACTTACAGGTATCAAATAAGCAGCGTTTTTTTTTAAGTTTTTGAAATTTTCATTTTTATATCTTCTGTCATAGTATAAAGATAATTTACTAAAGATATATATATATATACTATAGATCTATTTTCTAAAGATAATTACTGATTCATAACATTCAAAATAAAATTCCAAAATTTGAATTATGATAATAGAAATTTAAATTTTATTTTAATAATTCATTGCGACAAAAAAAAAATCTTCTCTTCTTAGATAGTTTTTTTATTCAGTAAAATATGCAAACCGCACATAGAACTATAATAGTTTTCTGGCAAATGCGTAATGTCCATGTTGATTTTTTTTAAAACTTGGCGTTTGAGTTTAATAATTTAACATTATTAAAAAAGAACCTTTAATGACAGATAATTAAATTGAATCTAACAAAAAATTAACTAAAATTAACCATATTAATAAGTTATATACAGATATATTTTTACCTATTTTTGCTAACAAACATTTTTGGCAAAATCATTATGAGTTAAAAGGAAAATGAGACTTTAAATTAAAAATGCTTTTTAAAATTTATATTTATAAATACCCGTAGAATTTTCGGATTATTAATTGCTAAGATGCAATTTAACGTAAATATTTGTAATTTTTAAAAATTGTTAAATATAAAACGTTGACGTAACTTTTATTACAACATAATAATAAAATAGTGAAAAATTGGCATCATCTATAGTTGGCATCATTAAATATTTTATTTGTGTTTTTTTTTTATAATTTTACCTTATTTATAATTACCCTTACATTACGCTTGACCAATGCAAAATGGAGATCATTGAAATTTACTTTAATTGGGTACTTACTGGTTTGAATTGATTACATAACCTCAGTGGTAAATACACTTACAACCGAACTTTTATTTTACGTTCAAAATTTTTTTAAGAGCAATCAATTATTATTAATATTTTATACTTAATTAATGTACTATAATTAATAAGAAATGCTTCGTCACCATTGATCAAATACCATGTAAACTTTTAAACAACATATTCATGTTTACATTGTTTCGTTTATAACTGAATATGTCGCGAACGTTATCTGTTAAGGAAATGTTTTTGAACCGTCGAATAAAACAGAATCGTATTGGACAAGAAGTGTTATATTAAATTACAAATGTGCAATTAATTTTCCAAATTCCCATGGATACACAGCGTTAAGAAAATATTATCCGGCATACAAGTGGTTCAATAGTCATTAATCATAATTTCGAGAAAAAGACCAATATAATAATATATCGTGAGTTAAATTCATTATTTGCTTCATGAATGACATACATTATACACAGTACTTTGTGCTCTAATAATATATTATAAGGATGTAGTTGACTTCGCTATTGGACTAAATAGTGAACTCAATAGCATTCACTTTGTTATTTTTAGTTATCAATAAGTAATAACAACAGTAATTATTATGCCTGTGGTCAAACGATCAACGAATATATCTAATTATGGTATGTTAGTAATAGTTTTTAATAAATTTACACATATAATAACTATACCGATTTACCGGATCTCCAACTGAATTCACATCATTCTTACATTTGTTGTTTATGATTTATATTTGTTCAGTTAAATTACAATACACGAATTATTATTGTTCATTTCACTCGTTTTTTTTCGTTTAAGTATTCAATTATTTTTTTCCATAAAAAAAAATTAAACAGCGGGTGTTTGAAAAGAAAATTTGACATCTAACGGATGTTGTGACTCGTATGCGGTTGTAAAATAAACCGAAACATTATGGAATAAACACGATCATTGTTTTCTCTGAGTTGTCTCGCATTTCACATGACGGCCGAAAGTATTGAAGAAAAAAAGTACGCCAAATGAAATTCGTCGCATATGTCGACAATGAAATAAAATATGATACAACCGTACTTCGTGAAGTATATAGACCCAGTAGTTTTTAAGGACTCGTCACGATGTACTTATTAGGAACGTAGTTGAATATTGTGTTTATTTATATTTGTTCAATTGTTTGAATAACAACAATGGGTATGTATAAATGTACACAGCCAACGTGATTTCCGTTTACCATATTGCGGAACATCGAAATGTCTGCACTCGTATCGACAATTGTAGTACAACTGAAATATAACTGTCTGGGGGTAGGATTAAAGAATTTGAGATGAGAAAATCACATACAATACACAGACCCGGATTAACACTATCGTAGACCCTAGGCCCCTAGTCCTTGCAGGGCCGTTGTCCAGTATTTAAATGGTTAAGAAACCTTCTCTTTGGGAGAGGAAGTGTTGAATCACATGCAGTGTTAAGCATTTAAAAACAATAATATTTACAACATAAAAATCAAATCTAAACTTTTATATGATAACTATTATACATTTTTATACGATAAAAGTTTTAAAAAATGTTAAAAAAAATAATTTTAATCCATAACATATATAATATAAATTGTCAAACACCATAAAAATATTTTTCTTATACCAATTTGCATATTACAAAAAAATTGTAGCCACACATTTTCGTAGGCCCTAGGCACAGTGCCTATAGTGTCTATGCACTAATACGGCTCTGACAATACAACGTGTAAAGCAGGAGATACGAATAATGTACTAATAATGTACGTATAGTAATCGGCCGACCGACACGCGCCATCCGTGTCACAGTTCAGACGACAACGATATCATAATATTCACTGTATTAGGATGATCGGCGATCAGGAGCACCCTCCTCGGTCGGGTAGATCCTGAACCCGGGACGTGTGTATCTATAATATTCAAAGCGATTCAGGTAGGTGGACGCGCAGTCGGAATGCAAACTCATTACGTGTTAAATGGTACAGCGAACCCGGTAGTCTCGATTGATGTCACCCTCGAAAATTTCGTGTCGAAATTGTTAATATTTTATAATTCTCGGTTAAAATACTGTCGGTGAAATGTTTTCGGCCCTTTTTGTTGCCCCTCGTTATTTTTTGCTCCGCGATCACGTACTGGTACACCCGTGAACGAAACTCAGCACCGGTGTCACGGCCGAGCTACTGCTTTCACGAGGGAAAATCAGGAAGGAAAACCGTGACAGGGAGGGGCGGAAATGATGACAAAGTCGGCCTTGATGGAAGGGTGGACTAGACCAACGGTTCTCAACCTCTTTGACTTCGCGACCCCCTAAAATGTCACCAAGATGTCTAACAACTTGTTTGTAATGTAAGCATTGAAAAATTGTACAAACTGTTATTATTGTATTTATTTGTGCATACATTTTACAAAAAAAAAAAAAGTATATTATAAAAGCCGATTGGCGTAAATTAATAGAAAAAAAAAAACAATAAAAATTATGTTAACTTTAATATTTTTTTAATTTAACGACTCTTGGTGTTGTTGATTTGAAATAATTTTTTTTTTCACGATGCGACCCTAAAAAAATTGTTGGCTACCTCCAAGGGGATCGGGACTCCCCGGTTGAGAATCGCTGGGCTAGACGGCGGCGGCGGCGGCGGCGGCGGCGAACGAACGCCAGGAGACTGGCCGGCGCGTCGATGACGATGACTAGCACGCGAACCGTGGACGTTTAAAATTGAATAATAAAAAAATAATAAAAAATCTTACGCGCTCGCACACACGCACACGCGCGTAACGAAATCATGTGCAAGTGGCGCGGGCGTGTACGTGTGTGCGCGCGCCCGCGCGTGTGTTTTCGTGTGCGAACAGAAAACACGTACGGCGACGACAACTGTAAGGCGGTGGAACGGAGCCAAGCGAACGGTTCGGGGAGTGAGTGAGTGAGAGAGGGTACACGGTGTCCGGCGGCGGCCCGTCGTAGTAGTGGAGTAGTGGATCCCGGTTTGGCGCATAAACGTGCAACGCCCGTCCGTCTCGTACTCAGTAACAAACGAGTCGCCGTCAATCAAACACACACTCGCGCGCGCACATACACGCCGTACGTACGCACACGCGCCGAACGGTTCGTCGCCACAAGTGTTTTTTTATTTATTTTTTTTTTTCTGTTTTTGAACTTTCTTTTTCTTTTTTTTTTTCGTATTCTCTCGCCGTTCACGTTATTCCTCTTCGTTTCTTTACCGCGTTCCTGGTGGTGGTACGCTTTCCCATCGTCCGCCGCCGGTTTTCCTCCGTCATCGTCTCCGAACGGGCGCAACCCCCCCTGCACCGGTAAATACACACGTGGAGTGCGCGTCCGCCGCGTTCCCGTCCGGTCATCGTCTGCCGACAACACGCGCGCCGCGCCGGCTGGACCGACACAAACATGGTCCCCGCCGCGCCATTAAGATGATACCGGCGTACGAACCGTCGGGAGACAGTTTCGTCGAATACATATTCGTGCTGAACCATTCGAAAACTTGAGTCCGCCCAACTAGTGCGCGCACACACACCCTCGGACGACGCGACCGCCGCCTCCGATCAGACACCCGTTGTTGTAAGACCGTCACATAACTCTGTGTGTGTTGTTATCGGTGATAGTTTTTTTTTTACCCTCTCGTTCCTCGCCGCCACCGCAGCCGCAGCCGCAGACGCCGTTGTTTCTCGGAAAACTGTAAGTACCGTAGGTTAGGGTTGCTACTCGCAATTGTCTCCCGCGCCCACCCGTCCGGGTGCCCTTTGACGGTGTCGCGCGGGGCACCCGTTTAATCCTCCCCCTCCCGGTGGGCGGGTAACCTTCGCGGTATCGCGTGTACACTTCGAACGGACACGGCGCAAAGGTCCGTGTTGACAGCGTCACCGTCCGGATGTTTGTTCGTCCGGTATCGATGTTTCTAATTATAGTTACGAATACGATTGCGACATTTCGTCGGCTGTTTAAGTTTTTATCAATGATCAAACAACAGGTGCAATATTTTGTTTATATGTGAAAAAAACACATTGCCCTGTTACGAACCGTAATAGCATGTTTGTTCCGTCAAAATTGCCTGTAAGTTATTAACACCGTGGATTAGTCGAAAGTCCTCTGGTTTATTGTCTTAGCGTTTCGGATTTAATTGTTTACGAGAATTATCATAGATATTACAATACATTAACATGTGTACCAAAATTCTGGTCACATTTTAAGGCGTCAAGTTGTTGATTGCAACAGGTATACAACATTGTTTCTTATTTTTATTAAACGATACGTGCAACAAGTTGATTCTAAAGCAAATCGTTTTACGTGTGGATACTTCAATTACATATATGAAAGTCGAATTTTATAAAAATCGATTGGTCTAGTCATTTGGATTTTAATTCGTATGTTCATTATGATTTTTTAAATAATAAATACATTTATTTTTTATGTTTTTTAATGCTTACATACCCCGGTTTTTATATTGTATTTTTTAAGAAATCATTTTTGTATTTATCTATAATTTATAATTTATTTTTATTTTTTAACTTATCCACATTTTACCTTTCATATTAATTGTCTGGGTTAACCCTGAAATTTTAAATTAGTACATTTTATAGAAATAATTATAATTTATATTATGTGTACGGTTCACAACTAAACACTTATTAATTATAATTTGGTATTACTTTTACCTCCAAAGTTAAAACGTCGATTTTATTTTGGTTAAGAACTGTCTTGAAGACTCCTTTTTTTGGTTAAAATTTCATTGCATGACCTATTATTTTGATTTTCATCGCAAAGTTGGTAAACCATTTAGTTATATTTAAATACGATTGAAAACTGATGCGTTCACTGTAAAATGTCACACTATCAATCAATAAAAATATGATTTACTTATTTATACTTATGTATGATTATTGATAATGTGTTACTTTAACAAACCGGTAGTTTATCTTATGATAGTAACCATAAATAATGTATTTAATACATTGCGTAATAAGCTAATATAATGTTAAATAGCGGTGTAATGTTCAATGATATAAATTCTATTGTAATATTTACAGCTCAATATCGTGGTTTTTATTATTATTATTATTATATTTGTTGAACAATTGAAAACTGCACGCGTTGTATTAATCAAATGAAAAATATATTTGCATGTCATCTAAACGACTGCACATGTCGAGGCGTTACAACTACGACGTATCGAAACGCATATTTCGTAATCGATTTGGATCCCGGTAAAAGTGATAAAAGTGCAAAGAATGCAGGGCGGTTCCGACGGACAAAAAAAAAATAAATAATGTAAACACGAAAAAATCTCGTTTGTTTTTACGGGATTTTTTCACGCAATTATTTATCGTCGAGGCCCGTGCGATTAAATTCTGGATAGTACGTGTCTCGGGGATACAACGCGCGTGGAGCTTGGGTATGGCACGCAAAAATTTGTTCACGTATCGGGTTGTATTTATACTATTGTCGGGGACATGTGTCTCGTTTTTCGCGTGCCTCTCTCAAAAATCCACACGCGGCACCGTGTCTCTCTCTCTGTTTACAAAACCGGCGTTGTACCGCTTTCAGTTTTTCGACCGTGACATAACGTAAAATCGGCGCGGAAAGGTGTTGCTATATTGCGATGGGGGAATACGAAAATAATCAAATATTATCGGGAGGACAAAACGAGCACGTTGTATACGCACACTTACGTACGCGCCCGCGAACTAATCGCTATAATTTGATATATAGGTGTACACGACGGGTAATATAAAAATAAAATAAATCTAAAATAACCATTGTGTGTATTGGGTGTTCTGAAATAGCCGCTGGGCAAGCGGCAGTGGCGGCGGCGGTGCGTTGAATTCTTTTCTATTTAGCGGGCGACCCCACCGCCGCCGCCGCCGCTGCCGTCGTTGTCGTCTTCGTCATCGCCTCCGTCGGTTTGGGTGCCCGTGTTTTATTTTATTATTATTATTATTATTATTATTTTCTATAGTTAGTTTCCGTTATTACACAGCGAGCGACGTATCAGACGAAGGACCGCCTAGAATAAATAAAAATAATATGTATATATCGTGTACATAACATGAACTCCGTGTCTTCGGTGCGTGCGCTGCAGTAACAGTCGTGATTTTTTTTCCCTTCAAAGTCGGAAAAAATACGTATAACGTTGTCCCGTTCCCTTTCTTGCCCTCGCGATCGGTTAATAACCAACCCTTATAAGGCAGTTGTCTGTGTTTACGGTATGTGCGTATGTGATATATGTACATCGTCCCGATAAGCTACTCCGTATGCCGCCGTGGGAAATCGTCTGTCCGCTGCCGCCTGCCGTCGACGACAAGACGAGCCGGAGGCTGCCCGAGTCTATTGTATGCGTGTGTGTGTGTGTGCACGGGCAAATGATGAAATTTCAGATTATTATTATTATTATTATAGTCACCGTCGCCGACCGCATAAATTAATGACGCAAAACCGGTTGCGGAGGAGTCGCGTGAGTTTAAAAATAGAAACGTATTTTCAATTTTTTTTTTTTTTTTTTTTTATATAAACCGCACGAAGAAATTGCGCGTAATAGTTTCCGAGCGAACTGGCTAATTGTTGGCCAGTAGTAGTAGTCGTGTCCAGGTCTGTGTTTGGCTCTCCGCCGCAACTAGTGTGTAGGAACGCACACGCACGTTATTTTAATACGGAAGACGGTAACAGATTATTATGTGACGTTTTGTGCGTGTACTGTTATAATGATACGCACACGTCATGCGCAAACCGAAAAATAAACATACCGCTATCATAAAAGTATATAGCGCATTTCGCTCGCATACAGTCGTCGTGCATCGAGTTAAATTCGACGGAGATTGACTTTTGGCTAACGATTTTATAGCAATCGCGACCCAGAACAGGGTGCTCGGAAGGAGCTGAATTTCGTACCCGTATAATCACCAACGGTTCAAATCACTGATCGTTAAAAAATCACGACGATGGAATTTTTGTACGGGATCGGACAAAACTACCTACTGTAACTTTGCGTGATTTAATGTACATTTAAAACACGTACAATAAATATTTATAATTAAATCGATAATTACCCGGTGACGATTTATTGCAATCATATAATTCACGTGATCGGCTGTGATATTGCCACGACTGGTGTCACGTACCGCATCACAAGATATGACGTTTATACTTTAATTATACAATACTTTAATTCGCCTATTTTGGTTCTCACGGTCCTCGACCACTGACGTATTATAATGAATGATATTATGTGTACTATACTATTGTAGTACACACTTTTATAATACTGTTATTAATAATTATAGACGGTTAAAATAAATATATTATATATATTTTATTACGATTACAACACTAGTCAAAAATATAAATAGAAAATTATTATTAAGTTTTATGTAAATAAATTTATCCCATTAGTGTAATTTTTTTGCTATTGGGGAATTTTCATTGACATTGTGCAACAATTAGTAAAATATACTGTTTTTGGTCTTCGTTTTTAGATCCTATTTTTTAAAGTCCTTCAACTTCAACTGCACGTTCTACGTTACTGTAGTATTATTCATTAGGTGCCTATATTTTGAACTATTTCTAGACCTTTGCTATAATTTGAATTTTTTTCCCATGTAGACGAGTCTGTTGCTAAAAAACAATAATTGATACTAAATCGTTTTTCTTAATACAACATTTTCCATCTCATATTTTTTATGAAATCTACTACTTCATTGACATTTAAAACTATACATTGATTTACCACGGCGTAATCTTCATCTCCATCTATATTTTCACTGTACATTTTTTTAATGTTAAGTACCATTTAAGTTTTTGTATCGAAAAGAATATGTTTATCAAAAAATGCTAGAGCAAAATTTTCTAAAATTAAAAATAAATAATTTACAAATGTTATAAAATATTTTTAGATATTTCTTTATCTATAATTATGTATTCGTAGATGTTTTTTAAAAATTCTAAATCTTGTCGAAGGGAAAAAGCATCAATTGTTAACGAGAATTTGATGAATAAATAAATGATAAAAATGCTTATAATCGAAATTGAATTATATTCTTTTTTAATCAATTTTAATTCTTCACGAAAAATATATATTTTAAGCGAATAAAGTGCTTTTGACATCTATCGAGCATGATGAATCGCTCTTGGAGTTCTAAATGATTTATAAAATGATAACATTGATCAAAAAATACCCTATAATGAGTTAGTTTTAGTTGATTTAAACAAAACCCTAAAATGTTTTCAATATAATTTTGTGATTTTTCACAAATAATGGATCGTTGATATCGGACCTATAATTTTGTCTACTTATTTTGGATCAAAAACTTTGAAAACCTTGAAATATGGTCACATTTGCATTGGAAGCTGCACCAAATTGTGCGTCAAATATACATCTTAAGATAATTTCGTATGATGGCGACAAGGAAAATATAAAATGTTTTTTTTTTATCATTGTTCTAATAAAACGCGCGTACCTATAGTTTGGTCTAAAATAAAAAATATAAATTTCTATAATTTAAGTTATGTACATTTTTATGATAAATTTAATATTTTAGTAATTATACTCAAAAAAAAAAAAAAACAAATATTCAATTTTTCAACCCCCTTGGGGCACGTTAGTACCCAAATTGCATTATAAATACTTTCTTATTATAATGAATAAAATGAGAGGGAGCGAATTCAAAAATATTTTTTTTCTTTAC